CCGGATCCGCCGAGGATAGAGAATAATTCAAGAAATACAAACCAAACACAGAGATAAAATTTTGATTTCATACCTATGCCGTTCAGTCTTCTAATGTAAAACCATCCTGGGACTGAAAGAATATTCTCTGGTCTCGCCTCCCTGGTGCGATTAGTTAGTTCACACATTTGGTATTTTCGATTGTAGTTATAGCCTTGGCACGTGATCTCTTGTCCACATTTGACATTGCAGAGGTGAGGAGCCGCCACTGACCATCTTTTGAAGACAGAGCGCTTGAGAACTCTTCTGGGTTACTTGTTTCTTCCATGAGAGTTGCTCAGATTTTCAACTTACCAATGACGTTGCTAAGATCCCCATCGTGTGATATGCTACTGAACTATAGAACAGAATTTTTGAACAAAGTGTTACTTAAAATGAGAAAATCAAGAAGAAATTGTGCGGTCCTAATTTCTCGTCGTAAAGATTTTTTTCTTTTAACTGTAGTCGGTGGGGGGTTTAATTTCTTGAATCTCGTACCTCCTGGAGATTCTTTGTGCTTATTCATGGGCGACCTTTGCTCGACAGTCTTTATATTCTTATTTTGTTTTGCTAAGCTAAGTGCTGTATGATTTCGAGAAAAAAAATTGTTGTTGTGAAAGCCAAGAAGATCGAATTTGCAAGCAAGGTCATTCAGCTTGGGTCTCCAGGTCCTTTCGGCAAGATGAAAGTTTCTCACTTGGATGTCGGTGGACAAGTGACAACAGTTTGAAGCTTGGTGAAAGCACATCTAGACCTAGCCTGCTTGGTAACTTGACCCTCAGCGACTATGGAATGAAAACCATTTCACCAGTTCTGAGTGTTAGCTCCAAACCTTTTAAATGGTAGACAAGTGGTTGGCATTTTTGTTCCAGCAGCTCCTTGGAAATGATACCAACCATCAGAGATTTATCTATCGCACTTTTGTGATCAGGTCGTTTTTATGTGGTTTTACGGTCCCTTCTGGTTATACTTGAATATTCTAAACATTAGTTAGCGTCATCTAAACAAAAATAACAAAAAAATCTTTGCTAAAGCTTTCCGTTGGAGTTCATGCATTTTCAACCATTCCCAAGTTTATTGTAGAAAATCTGAGGACGATTTGGCCATTTTGTATAAATTTAAACAGCGAGAAAAGCAATTAATTATTTTGTTTCGTTCAAGGAAAAGTAAAAACAAAAGCATCCTATACGGATATCAACTAGTTCAATATCAATTCAGTGTGTGTTGAGGCTATTCCGCAACAGTTGTCCCTATCCGTTCCGGTTTTTGTAATTACGGAATACCATGATGGTAACTAGCGGGCTTTTTATTCGCATGTGGTGAAGCGCTCGTGAAAGAAAATTTGCTCGAACTGTGATTTCTCGCCGCTTTTTAAATACTGCCTCGTTTCAATAATTTGCTAA